GGAATTTACACTCATAAATGCAGATTGTTACTCCATGCCTTGAAATGATAAATAGATTTCCACCAATAGTACCATTAATGATCTCATCTTACCCTCTGACACAAAATGAAGTTCCCTCACTGTACTACGTTAGCTCTACCATGATAATTAGTTCAATTTAACCCTCTATTTGCTTTGTAATATATTATACATTACGTCTAAAACAACATTACTTATGGTCAGTTTATTCCAATCACATTGTCCAACAACGCCACAATCTTAAACTCATATGGGGCGGCTGGCAGTTTAGTGACCAATAGCGCCGCGCCAACAACCGAGAGGTCGCCGGTTCCAATCCCCGAGCCGACCAGGCGAAAAATCTGCCGATGTGCCCTCGAGCAAGGCACTCAACCCCAATTGCTTCCATAAATCGCTCTGGACAAGAGCGTCTGCCAAATTACCAAAAATGCAAATGTAAACATTCTCTACTTTCTCACCCATGACGCTCGGGTGAGCAAGTTTAGAACATTCTCTCGTCAGATACCCACATGCGTTCCCAGCCAACTGCCAGTCTTTTCTGGCTCCAAAAGCCACACTTTCGCTCTCTCCAGCCCCTACCCTCGCAACTCTACCTTTTTTGTCCAGGGGGAACAGGCTTTTTGAGGAGCTGTGAGGAGCTGTTTCTCGTCCCAGCGCGCCTCCAATATTCCGCCGTTACTCAAAGCACTCCAGTCCATTTATTTAAATCAAATAATTCCCACCTAATTAGTTAAAGTTGGTGCACGTTTATAAACCGAATTATTTCGGTCTAATTGTTTAACCAGTATTTTGCACGGTCAAACATCAAACGTCAAATCAAATACTAAACCGAATTGCTTCGACACAACTATTCAAAAGCAGTATTATGCTATGTCGAACACCAAATGTTATATTTCAAATATATCAATTCAAACGTTCTAGTTCAGTCACACTCATTCATCACTTTAGTTTTATGTTCCCAATTGTTTTTAACGGGTTATATGGTTTAAGTAACCACAAATCCAACATTTATTCCCAAATTATACCGTTTGAACAGCCACAAACGTCTTTTGATTCCCAATTTGTTTTCTATCAAGGTATACAGGTTTATCATTCACACTTTCATGCATACGACAACACTTGCACTGTTTAACTTTTTATAGTACCTCCTATGGGTGTCTTTTGTTAACGTTTGCACAATTTAAACCTTATTTCCTATTTGTAATTCTCATTATTTACTGTTTTAAAATATTCTTTGTATTCACAGCCAAAAATGGTACACAGTTAAGCGTAGTATACAGTTATCACACAGCAAAAATAGTACACAGTTATCACACTCACTCACAATACACAGTCATAATCCTATCATACAGTCAAATATGTCACACAGTCATAAATGACACACTTATATTCCACACACAATCAATGTGGGCACACAGCCGCGTCTATTTTATTCAAAACACTGTGCTGAACCTAGCCGCAACCCTTAGTTACGGACCTTGCCAGTCACCAGTATTATCTAAAATTTCCCGAACCTAGCCGTATCTCAGTTACGGACCTTGCCGGTGTAATTCTCCGAACCTTAGTCGTACTGTCGTAGTTACGAACCTTGCCGATAGCAATTACTTAAGCCAATTATTCCCTATATCTTCCGAACCTTAGCCGTATGTCGCAATTACGGACCTTGCCGGTAGATGTCAGTATTGTCTCCTGAACCTAGCCGTATCTTAACGGACCTTGCCGGTAGAACCAACACTCTCTGGTACCATGGTTTTAAACATCACATTTAGCAAAGGTTTGCATGTCACAATATTGTGCTTATCTACTCATAATAGTTTCATAATTTAGTTCACTTACATCAGACAGTTGTTTCACAAAATTAATTTGGATAAAGCCAATGTGCAGATCTTCAGTTATTTAACAATAGGTATCTGCTTACCTTTTTAGAAGCCCGGGCAGTTTGTGAAACATACGGTTCGATGAAAGAGGTGACCAAATGTGCCGGACATTACCCAGCAAAGTCCCTTCTACCAGACCGCGTCGGGGTCACCAATTGTCAAAGTCGCGTCAATTCAAATCTGGTATTAGGAACAAAAGAGGTCAACACGACTTCTAAGATATACTAGTTATTTTAATTAATGCAAAAACCTTCAATGGTAAATATGATGTTTCGTATATACGGGCTCTCTGAAATACCTCACAGGGCACTTCAGAGAACTAACAACATTGTTTCAGAAACAATACCCAAATACTCTGACAGAGAAAGTTTCCCACTTCTCTGCTGGCCAATTAGAGTAAAGACTTGAGCGTGGTTTAAACTTTCTCAGCCAATCCGTTGGTTCAGGGGTTGGTCTCATCTCCTCGGCGCCATTTGTTGCACACTTCAGCCAGGCACAAGATTATCATAACAACCTATCATAGTGAGAAGAGCCAGCTCCCTTAGACATCATTCCTACGTCCAAGGAAGGCTCACAGATCACAAAGAACCAGTATAGTCTAGCATTTGAAGACACATCCTTATCTCATTTTACCCCCTAAAACAGCTCTTCACATCAATCACAGCCTTGCCAGGTGTCACAACCTACATTAGCCCAGTCAAGAAAGCATTCTTTCTAAGTTAGTCATCCCATCAATTTAGGAGAATAATAAATCCCCAATAGGTTTGTTGGTAAATTCAATCTGGAGTGCCAGTGTGCGCTCTGGACGTAAATTGAACGTTAAACTCTCGGAACGCTCACTGGACGCTGATCTCACGACGGCAGTCAAGCACCCAAGCTAACGTTGGCTAGCTTGCTTTTTACTTCCAGACACAAATGAGAGAACACCTCACTCTGACCATTTTACTCGCCCTAGCAGAGCTGGTTAGGCTGTTTTCATGTTATCCAGAGCGTTGTTGACTGTAACTGTGCTGCTGGCAACAATTTAATTACGCTTTTTTGCTGACGTTTACTGAGACCGGCCATATTCAACCAGTGTTGAGCGTTCGTAAATGAATCAGTTACTCTGCGCACTGGCACACTCAGATGAGAATGCTCTGAAATCGGATAGCCAGAGGAAATTTATGAACATACACAAATACGTCACAAAATGTCGTCATAATATATGCGTTAACTGTTTCGACTGGGAAGCATCCAGGAAACTTAAGGCACAGAAACTGGGGCAGCTTTGGAAGTCTAGCTAAAATATTCCCCTATTTTGACTAACAAGCCATGGCAATATACAATAAAACATCCCTGAAAACATTATCTTGGTTTTCCCAAGATATAAGGAAACTAAAACTAAACTACATTTCCATACTTACTACACCAGTAGAAACGCTCGTGTTCTAGCGATATTGACCCTTAAATGTCATGCACGTCCAGTTTCACTATTCGGTCTTTGATTGGACAGGATTAAAATAGAGACATCTGATTGGACAAAAATAATTGGAAGAAAAAGGCTGCACCCATGGACAAGTGTCACGCTATTATCAGAACAATGGTTATCTGATCAGGAAAGGCGATACAATAACAAAAGGGCTACTTATTTTTACTAATAACCTGCATATGATGTAAATAGAATAGGTGTAAAATTGTTGGAATTCTCATTATAAGATGGATGTATACTGTTTTTTTAAGAGACAGCAATGACAGTGTTCACAAGCTGCAAAACAAAGAGGCATTTTATTTTTGTCAATACACACCATGCCGTTTCTATGTTACTCTATTCTACTATATCTGCAAACTAATTCCATACATACCAACTGCCTTTGCCTGAGGGAATTAGTCAAACACCACAGGCATCTAAAACACAGTCCAGCATGAAAAAAAAACACGAAGGTACTCTTAAGCATGGATGAGCATGTTAATCGCTGCATTACATTTCCAAATATCAACATTTCTGTTGTTATGGATCAGGCTCATTGTAATCAAATAATTATTTTGTACACACAAATAATCAATGCCCGGTGACTTCCCATATACACAACAGATTGTGGGTTTCTTTCTGTGCTACTATACAGACAAAGTGCTCTACGGACCAGGTTGACTGTTAGTGATAGATCAAGGGTTTACATTCTGGTGCTTGGACTGCCACTCACCTTGGGTTCTTATAATATTCTATAAAACACAGTGATCAATTTAATCTAAAGCAGATTCACCCTATCTCTGAGGAGATGCCACATGAGGCTATTCTGGTGCACACTCATTCTGGCACTAATGAGCAGTCTACTTCAACTGTTACAAAAATATACAAAAATATCTGTGCATTCACAAATCTTATCTCAAACCAGTAAAAGATAAATGCTTCTACTAAGCACAGTGCAGTCTCAAGTAGAGGAGTCGGGTGGGAGGAGCAGTAGGAAGATGGGCTAATTGTAATGGCTAGAATGGAATAATTGTAAAGGTATCAAACATATGGAAACCTAAATGTTCTCTTGTTTTTTACCCCCAATTTTGTGGTATCCAATTGGTAGTTACAGTCTTGTCCCATCGCTGCAACTCCCGTACGGACTCGGGAGAGGCGAAGGTCGAGAGCCGTGCGTCCTCAGAAACAACCCAACCAAGCCGCACTGCTTCTTGACACAATGCCCGCTTAACCCGGAAGCCAGCCGCACCAATGAGTCGGAGGAAACACCGAACACCTGGCGACCGTGTCAGCGTGCACCCGGCCTGCCACAGGAGTCGCTAGTGCGCGATGGGACAAGAACATCCCTGCCGGCAACACCCTCCCCTAACCTGGACGACGCTGGGCCAATTGTGCGCCGCCCCATGGGTCTCCCGGTCACGGCCGGCTGCGACAAAGCCTGGACTCTAACCTGGATCTCTAGTGGCACAGTTAGCACTGCGATGCAGTGCCTTAGACCGCTGCGCCACTCGGGAGGCCCCAGAAACCACGTTTGACTCCATTCCATCAATTCCATTCCAGCCATTACAATGAGCCAGTACTCCTATAACTCCTCCCACCAGCCTCCACTGGTCTCAAGGCATTCAGGTCGGCAGCAGGCAATATGGCTGGCCACCTCAGCTGGAGGAGGGGCCGGTGTGTCTCTGAAGCGGGGCGAGGATGACGTCAGCGTTCTTCTGCTCACTCTCGGCACTGTACAGGCCGTGCTCCCGGATGTAGCTCACCACCGGGTCCGGCAGTAAGTAGCGGACGGTCTGGCCCCTGCGCAGGGCCCGGCGCACGTGCGTGGCCGAGATCTCGTTGGTCACCCACTCGCGGACCACGTGGATGTTCTTGCGGTGCTTCCACAGCACCTCCGATTGGTGGATGAACTTGTGGGCGTCACAGCCGTTGCGGGTGATGCACACCAGGCCATAGCGGCCCACGATCTCTGCGATATCCTCGTGCTTCCACAGGTTGGGAACGCCGAAGGACTCCAGGACGTCCGCGCCGCACAGGAGCTTCAGCTGAGGGCCGTCGTCTAAAGGGTTCACGGACAGATGAAGAATAGTTTATTAATCCATACAAGACTGAAATGTGTCTTCTGCTGTACCGGACCTCCAATATAAACACACACAAATACACATTAAGCTAGAAAGTCTGAAGCAGTGTGCTTAAGTAAAAATCTGTGTGAATTTCCTGAATTCTGAGAAGGATTTTTGCATCTTAGGGTTCACTTACACTTAAGTGACAGGTATCAGGGAATGTTGCCAGACAATGTCAAAAAGTTGGCAACAATGTTCTGACTACTACAGAGACAGCCTGTGCCGGTAAAACATGTAACCAGCACCATGTACCTTTCCTTTTTATTACCTCAGGGCAGATCACCTGCTGTTCCACCATACCCATCGGTGTGACTAAGTGTCACTAGGTGTCACCAAACCCTATGTGGCTGGTAATGTCCCAGACGGACAGTAGTATTCAACAATTGCCGGCTCAATGAGTTAGAGCATGGTGCTGGCAACAATAGGGTTGTGGGTTTAATTTCCAAATGGGCCAAATAATGAGTATGTGTCACTACCAATGTCAATGGTTCTGTAAGTCACTTCGCATAAAAGTGTCTACCAAATTACTAAATTGTCATTACTAATCTGAGTGGAATTGATAGTACGAAACAATATAGCAGCAATGAATCCGTTGTGTTACCTGCCCTGGGTGTAGCACAGCATCCTCCTCTCCAAAGCAGAGCTAGTGTAACATCTGGGTAGTAAGAAATGTGTGCATTTGTCTGTGGTCTCGGAATGCTCGTTGAGAATGTCTCTGTTTTTACCTCTCCTTGTGTGATAAGAGGATGGCTCCTCAAAAGCGTGCTTTGTCTCCTCAATCCTCCTCTTCTTTGCAGTGTCCACATCGTCATTGTTCTGTTCCGCTGTCACCAGTTCTTTATAATGATGCCTAAAGCGCACAGAGACGACAATACAATTGACACGAGGGAGATAAAGCCCAATGGAACTAAGCAAGGATCATGGCAGAGTAGATTAACTTGTTATTATGGTTACAAAATGTCACACAACTAAATTACTTTTGGGTCGTTCCATTTCATTTCAATAACTTTTTGACAGCACCCCCTTTTGATTTGAACAAAACTTGCTGTACATACTGTATATGCCCATGGCAGAAGTGGTCAGAAAGTAACTTTATGAGACCTGAATGCTAAAACATTTAGAAGATAGAGGTGCTCAAAGTTGACATTTTGCATACAGTGGGGGAAAAAAGTATTTAGCCAGCCACCAATTGTGCAAGTTCTCCCACTTAAAAAGATGAGAGAGGCCTGTAATTTTCATCATATGACAGACAAAATGAGATTTTTTTTTCCAGAAAATCACATTGTAGGATTTTTAATGAATTTATTTGCAAATTATGGTGGAAAAAAAGTATTTGGTCAATAACAAAAGTTTCTCAATACTTTGTTATATACCCTTTGTTGGCAATGACACAGGTCAAACGTTTTCTGTAAGTCTTCACAAGATTTTCACACACTGTTGCTGGTATTTTGGCCCATTCCTCCATGCAGATCTCCTCTAGAGCAGTGATGTTTTGGGGCTGTCGCTGGGCAACACGGACTTTCAACTCCCTCCAAAGATTTTCTATGGGGTTGAGATCTGGAGACTGGCTAGGCCACTCCAGGATCTTGAAATTCTTCTTACGAAGCCACTCCTTCGTTGCCCGGGCGGTTGTGTTTGGGATCATTGTCATGCTGAAAGACCCAGCCACGTTTCATCTTCAATGCCCTTGCTGATGGAAGGAGGTTTTCACTCAAAATCTCACGATACATGGCCCCATTCATTCTTTCCTTTACACGGATCAGTCGTCCTGGTCCCTTTGCAGAAAAACAGCCCCAAAGCATGATGTTTCCACCCCCATGCTTCACAGTAGGTATGGTGTTCTTTGGATACAACTCAGCATTCTTTGTCCTCCAAACACGACGAGTTGAGTTTTTACCAAAAATTTCTATTTTGGTTTCATCTGACCATATGACACTCTCCCAATCCTCTTCTGGATCATCCAAATGCACTCTAGCAAAATTCAGACGGGCCTGGACATGTACTGGCTTAAGCAGGGGGACACGTCTGGCACTGCAGGATTTGAGTCCCTGGCGGCGTAGTGTGTTACTGATGGTAGGCTTTGTTACTTTGGTCCCAGCTCTCTGCAGGTCATTCACTAGGTCCCCCCGTGTGGTTCTGGGATTTTTGCTCACCGTTCTTGTGATCATTTTGACCCCACGGGGTGAGATCTTGCGTGGAGCCCCAGATCAAGGGAGATTATCAGTGGTCTTGTATGTCTTCCATTTCCTAATAATTGCTCCCACAGTTGATTTCTTCAAACCAAGCTGCTTACCTATTGCAGATTCAGTCTTCCCAGCCTGGTGCAGGTCTACAATTTTGTTTCTGGTGTCCTTTGACAGCTCTTTGGTCTTGGCCATAGTGGAGTTTGGAGTGTGACTGTTTGAGGTTGTGGACAGGTGTCTTTTATACTGATAACAAGTTCAAACAGGTGCCATTAATACAGGTAACGAGTGGAGGACAGAGGAGCCTCTTAAAGAAGAAGTTACAGGTCTGTGAGAGCCAGAAATCTTGCTTGTTTGTAGGTGACCAAATACTTATTTTCCACCATAATTTGCAAATAAATTCATTAAAAATCCTACAATGTGATTTTCTGGATTCTTTTCGCAATTTGTCGGTCATAGTTGACGTGTACCTATGATGAAAATTACAGGCCTCTCTCATCTTTTTAAGTGGGAGAACTTGCACAATTGGTGGCTGACTAAATACTTTTTTCCCCACTGTACCCCACCCTACCATGAGAGACATACAGTGAGGGAAATAAGTATTTGACCCCTCTGCAAAACATGACTTAGTACTTGGTGGCAAAACCCTTGTTGGCAATCACAGAGGTCAGATGTTTCTTGTAGTTGGCCACCAGGTTTGCACACATCTCAGGAGGGATTTTGTCCCACTCCTCTTTGCAGATCTTCTCCAAGTCATTAAGGTTTCGAGGCTGACGTTTGGCAACTCGAACCTTCAGCTCCCTCCACAGATTTTCTATGGGATTAAGGTCTGGAGACTGGCTAGGCCACTCCAGGACCTTAATGTGCTTCTTCTTGAGCCACTCCTTTGTTGCCTTGGCCGTGTGTTTTGGGTCATTGTCATGCTGGAATACGCATCCACAACCCATTTTCAATGACCTGGCTGAGGGAAGGAAGTTCTCACCCAAGATTTGACGGTACATGGCCCCGCCCATCGTCCCTTTGATGCGGTGAAGTTGTCCTGTCCCCTTAGCAGAAAAACACCCCCAAAGCATAATGTTTCCACCTCCATGTTTGACAGTGGGGATGGTGTTCTTGGGGTCATAGGCAGCATTCCTCCTCCTCCAAACACGGCGAGTTGAATTGATGCCAAAGAGCTCCATTTTGGTCTCATCTGACCACAACACTTTCACCCAGTTCTCCTCTGAATCATTCAGATGTTCATTGGCAAACTTCAGACGGGCATGTATATGTGCTTTCTTGAGCAGGGGGACCTTGCGGGCGCTGCAGGATTTCATTTAGTAGTGTGTTACCAATTGTTTTCTTGGTGACTATGGTCCCAGCTGCCTTGAGATCATTGACAAGATCCTCCCGTGTAGTTCTGGGCTGATTCCTCACCATTCTCATGATCATTGCAACTCCACGAGGTGAGATCTTGCATGGAGCCCCAGGCCGAGGGAGATTGACAGTTATTTTGTGTTTCTTCCATTTGCGAATAATCACACCAACTGTTGTCACCTTCTCACCAAGCTGCTTGGCGATGGTCTTGTAGCCCATTCCAGCCTTGTGTAGGTCTACAATCTTGTCCCTGACATCCTTGGAGAGCTCTTTGGTCTTGGCCATGGTGGAGAGTTTGGAATCTGATTGATTGATTGCTTCTGTGGACGGGTGTCTTTTTCCCTGTAAGAGTGTGCTCCTAATCTCAGCTCGTTACCTGTATAAAAAGACACCTGGGAGCCAGAAATCTTTCTGATTGAGAGGGGGTCAAATACTTATTTCCCTCATTAAAATGCAAATCAATTAATAACATTTTTGACATGTGTTTTTCTGGATTTTTTTGTTGTTATTCTGTCTCTCATTGTTCAAATAAACCTACCATTAAAATTATAGACTGATAATTTCTTTGTCAGTGGGCAAACGTACAAAATCAGCAGGGGATCAAATACTTTTTTCCCCTCACTGTATATGTCTTCATCACTGGAAAATAAATGGTTGAGTTTGATATAATTTAAAAGCTTGCAAACAGGGTTGTCAAACAATTTAACCTTAAACGTTAATTATCTAAAAACGTCAACTCAGATTTTTTCCATTTTTGCATATGTTTGTAGATTAGACCCTATTTAACATCTGAGGTGTTTGTGTTGTGCCCGCCATTGGTTGAGACAACATGCTCTTGAACACAGGGTGGGTGTCATGTTTTTGGGTGATAAATGTACTAAATACATGGGAATACAATTTAAATTTGTACTTCGAAATGGTAGCACAAAGATGATTGGAGGTCCACACAGTGAATGTTGACTTAAATGGAAATATATGAGTTGTTTTAAATTTGAATGTCAATCTTCCATAGGAAACCTGATCTTTGTGCTAGTACTTGGAAGTAAAAATGTCAATAAAATGTATCAATGATACTAAATTGCAGTGGTCTGAAGGGATTTGTTCATTCTATTAATTATATTTCTATGATTAAAATTACACCCACCTTGTATTCAAGAGTATGCTGTGTCTCAACCGATGGCGGGCACAACGCAAACACCTAAGGTGATGTAAAATAAGGTCTAAGCTACAGTATATGCGGGGTAAAATAGTAATTTACACGTTTTAGATAATTGACATTTAAGGTAGTAAAAAAGTTATCTTTTAAAATAAATTATAAAATAGTAAGCTTTTAAATAATATAAAACTCAACCGTTTAGCCTATCTTTTCGAGTGATGAAGACGGGTGTGTCATGGTAGGGTGGGGTATGCAAAACGGGTCAACTTTGAGAAGCTCGATCTCGTAAATGTTTTGGCATTCAGGTCCATAAAGTCACTTTCTGACCACTTCTACCATGGAAATATGTATGTAGTTTCGTTCAAATCAAAAGGGGTGCGTTCAAAAAGTGATTGAAATCAAATGGAATGACCATTCTGACACTAAAGTGACAGGTATGTAGCCTGGTACCAGTCTTTTTTGCTAATCCACTCCCTGTACTTCATGCCAAAGTGACTGGCCTTTCTGCCATCTTCAATTATGACCATTCTATCATTATGAACTCGAGAGGACAGAGGATTATCACCCTCACAGCTATCCTCCAATCACAATGATTATGCAAATATTGCAACTATATCACTTTTTTTCTCCACAGAACACGTTTGTATCGTTTGCGAAGCAACCGTTTATTTGTATATATGAAACCAGTCTGTCAAAAGTTCCTAGCTCACATCTAAATTCTCAAACTAAATACATACTGCAATTCCAACCACAAAACGCCTCAAAATACAACTTGCCTAGCTAACAGCTAAATGTTTGTTTTTGACTTCGTTATAAATTATAGTTCTATTTTCAAGGCTCCACATGGAAAATATTAATGTTATTTCCAACAACCAATTAGCAACTCTGCTGTAAATCCAGCGCATATCAAATCAAATCAAATTTTATTGGTCACATGCGCCGAATACAACAGGTGCAGACATTACAGTGAAATGCTTACTTACAGCCCTTAACCAACAGTGCATTTATTTTAAACAAAAAAAGTAAGAATAAAACAACAACAAAAAAGTGTTGAGAAAAAAAGAGCAGAAGTAAAATAAAGTGACAGTAGGGAGGCTATATATACAGTAAAATAAAGTGACAGTAGGGAGGCTATATATACAGGTGGGGTACCG